GGAGCTGATACCATTTGATGTTAATTAGGAATATTATGACTCTTAAAAGATACTTCATGTGAAGCACACACGGAGTCTGGCGCATAGCAGGTGCTCAATAAATGACAGTGCGGACAATCATCGAGGGTTTACACTGTGCCAGGCCGCATGCACAGGACCCCGAGCATCTCCGCTCAGTTAATCCTCCCCACAAGTCCCTGGGTAGATCATTTCAATGAGCATAAATATAAAATAGCAAATACACAGACACAGGCAGGCCTCACTGCTCCGTGCTTCACTTTACCGTGCTTCGTAACTATTGTGTTTTCTACACATGGCGGGTTTGTAGCAACCCTGCGTCGAATACACCCATTGGTATTATTTTTCCAGCAGCGTTTGGCCACTTCCTGTCTCTGTGTGACCTATCGGTGGTTTCTGCAATATGTCAGACTTTATCATTATTATCATATTTGTCACGGTGACCTGTGATCAGGGATCCTTGACGTTGCTGTTACGACTCGCTGAAGGCTCAGAGGACGGGTAGCGTTTTTTAGCAACAAAGATTTTTTAAATTAAGGGATGTACACTGTTCTTTCAGACAGAGTGCGATTGCACACTTAGTAGACTACAGCAGAGTGCAAACGTAACTTTTACATGCGCAGGGAAGAGACAAAGAAATCCGTGCAACTCTATTGCGACACTCGCTTCATTGCTGCCGTCTGGAGCCAAACCCGCGATACCTCCAACGTGTGCCTGTGATAAATATAATATAAATATAACGTGATAGACAGACAGACAGACAGACAGACAGATAAAAAAAGAGAACGCTAAATGATAAAGATGCCACATAACCCACCCCGGGCCACTCAGCTGATAAGTCCTGAATCAGGATTCGAACTCCATCCCCCTGGCTCCAGAGTCCCCTCTCTGGCCTCCTGCTGTTGCTCTTTGTGACTCATTACACGAGTTCCCTAAAATTTTCAGTTGCACCTCCCATCCCTGGGTGCCACAGGGTGCACTTTCACCTCCGTGTCTTCCGTGGATGGGAGGCAGAGCCCGTGAGTCCTGTTATGAAGCCTGTGCCCCCCCCCACCCGTTCAGTACAGGACACCCTCCATGAAGAACTGACCTACCACTTCTGAGAAGCTGGCAGCCTCTGCGGTGAAGGCCAGAGTCAGGGCTAAGATGAAAGGAATCACACATATGGCCTCAGCCCTGGAGGGAAGGATGGAGAAGGAAATTCGGGCATTCTGGGCAACGCAAGGCATCCAGGACTGAGAGAGGTGAGCAGAATCCCTCCGGGGCTCAGGAGACCCAGGCTTCAACTGACTTTCTTGTTTCGCCACAAGTAGGGACCAGTGATCCAGATGAGAATTGTGGCTTCCTTGGGTGACATGGGAACTCAAGAAAATCTCAGCTTGAGAGAGGCGTAGAGAGGCAGAGGGCCAGTGAGAGTGCCAACCACTCATCTTCCCCTGCAGAAGCAATTCACGTGATGACTCGGCCAGCTCTTAGTCAACGCTGCTCTGTGATTTTATCTTCTCGTGCGTCTGTCCCACCACCTCGCTAGACGGCAGCCCTGTAGAGGCAGAAGATCTGTGTTCACCGTGGCGCCTGCCCCTGGTGAAAGCTACCCACACACCATTCGATGTGCCCTGTGCGTGGAGCAGGGAATTCCATACACAGTGAGCAGAATCTCCATCAGCATCAAGAGCAAGGGGTCAAGGTGGGGAGGGTATAGCTCAGTGGTAGAGCGCATGCTTAGCATGCACGAGGTCCTGGGTTCAATCCCCAGTCCCTCCACTGGAAAAATGAATAAATAAATAAACCTAATTACCTCCCCTGGTCAAGGAAGGAATTCACATTTCCAGAAAGAGTGTCGCATCCTTGCCGTGGTGTGTGGGCCAGACACAGCATCCTCCTCTGTCCAGTCTCATGTCCTGGGTTCCCCCAAAACGCAACCTTCAAAGCAATGTCTGCTGTCTCCCAGCCCACCATGAGGGAGGAGGCTCCCTGGTCTCCGCTCCGCCCTGGAGGAAACAGCTCTCCCCTGGGAGCTCAGGTCTGGCCCTGAAGGGACCACCTCGCTCTGCCAGAGGGAGCATAAGCCGGCCTCGCCAGCTGAGTGCAGCTGTGGCTGTTGCTTAAGAGCCTTCCCGCGTGCAATAACCTCTCATTATATTTTAATGTTGTTGTAACTTTATGGCTTAATCAGTATTTGCAATTTGTTAGTAGCCCGGGTGGCCATAAAATTGTTTTCCAGGTACTGAAACATCCCATCAAGGTTTGTAAAGCAGTGGTTCTTAGTTTATCACGCCCATAAAATGCCCTGGCAATTTGACAGATATAATAACTTTTTTTATCAAGTGTCTAATTTGAGAGGAAATTAAGCCATACGTTACACGCAGCTCCGCACCACGGTTGGGAGTTCTTCAGCCTCCGGGGAAGCCCCTCTCCTCACCCCATCTGTCCTCTTCAGCCAAGGGCTAGAGTTCATGCTTGCCCCTTGCCCAGAGCCTGCTGGGCAACCCCACAGAGCTGGGGGCAGGTATCCCAGTGGCTATGGTGTATGTGATGTAAGCATCCTTGAAGAGACAGTGCTTTCACACTGGGGCCCCAGAGATGGGTGAGAAATTAGCTGTTAGAAAGAGAGTGAAAACCCTGCTAATCTCTCCTCTCTGGGTCTCCCCCTGAGCTGATGCTCCCCAGATCTAATCCCGTCTTGGGTCTGCACAGGAGAGGAACGCAAGTGGTACTCTGCCCCTCATCTCCATCCTCCATGCCCGCTTTAACCTCTCCTGCTTTTCTGCACATTGTGTCCAGACATAGAAAGAGAGAAATTGTGTTAGAAGGACACATGGAAAAGTAAGCTATTTTTCTTCCCAGCGACGTGGGTTTGCCCCTTTGCAATTTTCAAATGTTGGTCTTTCTTGGTATGATGCTGAATCAAAGAACAATTTTGCTCAGGAGCTACACGGGGTGCATAGATACCTCTTTGCCCCACCAGGCACCAGATCAGCAACTGTGTGGTCCAGGAATGTGGGTCAAGCTCACTTCCCCTCCAGCCCGACAGTGCACGGCAGCCCAGAGAGCTGACCGCGGGACCAGTTCTCACCTGGCTCTTCAGCACTCAGCTGTAAGTGTCCTCCCACCACGGCCCCAGCCCTGGGCAGTCGTCCTAGAAAAAAGGAATCGGGACCCCCTGACAGTATCATTCATCCCCACTCGGTTGGCATTTCCCGGGCAACCACTTCATGGCCAGCAGCATCCCGAGCTCTGAAGGATTCAGAGGTAACCGAAACACAGTCCTTGCCCACGAGGCTCCCACCATCTCACCGAGGACATTAGCCAGAAGAGCAACGCTTAGGAGCACAGTGATGCTGCGTGGGGCTCTCTGGAAACACAGGCGACCAAAACTGCAGCAGAGCTATGGTGGGGATGGGGGCAGTCCTCTGGAAACACGTTGGCTTTCTGGCTTCACCCCATGACTTAAAAGAGACGGTGTTGTGGACCAGGATAAAAGTGTCCTGGAGATGCTGGAATCTGAGGGAAGCTAAGTCCTAGCATTGATCAGACTGAGTGTTCAGACTGAGTGTTTACCTTGAAAAAGTGCCCGCCGGCAGGTGTGCGCGCAAGTGCGAACGCAGCGGGCGAACGTGCCGCCCCAAACGGAAACTGGAAGGCGCAGCATCTTCCGTCCCTTTCACCTGAGCACCTCCCCGCAGCCGCCGGGTCTTATGAACCAGCTCCCGAGGTTAATAACCGACTTCACAGAGACACGAGAATAGCTGAGCGTTTATGGAAAGCCTTTCTCGAAGGAGCTCTCCGCACTCTGCAGATAATGGACTTATTTATCTTTGGAGCATCTTGGTGAGGCTGTTCCAGGACAGGGGTGACCGGACTCATGTAATAAATTACGTCAAGAACAGCACGAAGCT